CTGAGACCTTGGCTGTCCAAGCCAGGGCCTGGGTCCCTTGAGCCCCAGGTGGGCTGGTTAGAGGAGTGGGCGCAGCCTGGACCAAGAGCCAGAGAGTCCACCAGCCGGCTCAGTCTCGCTCACACAGCGTCCCTTCGGCCCCCCATGGCTTTCGTTACCCCCGGCCCACTCAAGCGTGGGCTCCGGGAGGGCAGGTTCTTGCTTTTCACTGGGCGCCTGGCTCATAGCAAGTGCCTGGCCCGTGGCAGGCCCTTGGCCTGCAAGTCTTGAGGGAATGAACCAATGAGCATATCTTGGGGCCTTTCCTTGGCAGGTGTGGGGTGTCTGACTACTGGGAAAGCCTGAGCTGGAGCCTAAACCCCCTCCTGAGGAGCTGGGGGAGGCTGCGTTCTTCCCATTCCTGGGACCGCGAGAGGCACATTCCTGTCCCTGAGTCTGGTCGGGCTCCTGCCATGCAGCTCAGTCTGACTGCCCGGCCCAGAAAGGCCCCCTGGGCCCCCCCCATCCCCACCCCCCGAGGGACCCCCGCTGCCCCCTGCTTGCAGCAGCACCCGCTCTCTGCCAGCTGAGGCCGGGAGCCGGGACCACTGAGTGCCACTGACGCCTTCCAGACAGCCCCTACCCTCTGGTGATCAATGAAAACCTTCCCATCCTGCTTCCAGGGCTGAAGCCAGGGATTTGGAAAATTGGTGGAAAACACTCCTGTGAGCCGGCGCGCTCCGCTGCGGGAAACTGCGGCATCAGCACTTCTCCGCGGGCTGTGCCGAGTCAGCAGTCGCCGCTCTGCAGCTGCCTCTGCCGACCAGGTGCCTCCAGGCCCCGCAAGGGGCTCAGGGGCCGGTGCTGCAGGGGCGCTGCAGGGGCGAGGGCAGGTGACTGAGTGTTTCACCCACGCCCCTACATGCTGGGCTCCAGGAATCCCAGGCGGGTCCTTGCCTCAGGGGGCTTTCAGTCTGGCGGGGAAGACAGACATGTCAAATAAGCACACAGGGTGGAACCGCCGCAGAGGCACGTGTCATGGACAAGTACAGGAACTAGTGGCAGGAGGGGTGACAGGGTTCGGCAAGCTTCTATAAAGGCCAGATGCTAAATATTTTAGGCTTTTCAGTCCACAGGGTCTTTGTCCCATGACAGCAGCCACAGACAATGCATCAACAGATGGGGGTGGCTGTGTTTCGATACAGAAATGGGGGCGGCGCTGGGTTTGGCTTGAAGTCTGCCTGCCCCGGTGTTACGGGGCCTGACCTGGTCTGGGGTGGGTGTGATGGTGGAGAGAAAGGCTTCCCTGAGGCAGTGACGTTTACCTAAAACCTGCAGGCTGGTTCAGCGACAGAGGCAGAACCATAACATTAACAATTATGACAGTCACATCGCCAGGATAAAGTCACACTTGGCAAGTGTGCTCTGCGTGTCAGGACTGCGCTAACACAGAGGGAGGTACATCCTCTGCCCACTTTACAGATGGAGAAACTAAAGCTTGGTCATATGCTGGGTGTTCTGTTTGCCCACCCAGGTACATTTTTTGCCCTGCTCAGTGCCACTGCCAGGGAGGGGGCTGACCCCTGAGATGCATGCCCTGGATTCCTCGTCCCCAGCTGCCTGCTGGGTTTGGCCAGTGGGAGGCTCTGGCAGCAGCCGGGGGGCTGCAGGAGAGAGAGGTCAGGTATTTCTTTCCACTCCCTCCCGCTTCATCCTCTCCCTCCTGCCAAGCCAGCTGTCCTCCGTGGCTCAGTCACCGCCGGGGTCGATAACACTTTTTTTTTCCCCGTGTCCTTCCGGCCAGGGGTGCTGGGTGCCTCACCACACTTCATTGGTTCTGTTCATTGAAGTCTCTTTCTGTGAGCCTTCTGGGGTCAATTTTGTCCCCTGCAGGACTCTGACTGATACTGAAGGTTAGTTGACTTGCTGGCTTCTGGTCTCACACGGCAAATAAACAACAGAGCCAGGTGGAGGTGACAATGGACAGAGGGCAAGGAGAGTCTGGCCGCCCCCTGAGGAGGCTGGGCCAAGGGCTGGCTCCTGGTCCCCAGCACTGGCTTCCACAACAGGCAGGGGTCAAAAGAGGCCAGTAAGAGCAGCTCCTCCTTTCCTGTCCCAGGGCGCAGTGAGAGACCAGTTCTTGAGGCTCCCAATTAGCAATTTCAGTTTTCTGAGCCTGGCTCCTGCCCTGCCGCCCCCACCCCCGCTCCAGCAGGGAGAGCCATTGCTGCTCACTGCAGACCCAAGCTGGGGGCTGAGGCTGAGGCAGAGGCAGGGCCCTGGTCTCCTCCTCAAGAAGGAGGTAGTGGGGCAGGTGGGGGTCACATGAAGGGACCACCTGGGTCAGACAGATGCCCGGAGGGGCCCAGGAAGCCTCTGCTGCCCCCTGCCCTGACAGCAAGCAATCTGCAGACTTGTTGAAGAGCAGGAGCTAGGGAGGCCCAGGCGGGCATAGGAGGGGCCTGGGCTGCATGTGGGCGTGGAGGCACCGGGAGGAGGGGGCTCTCTGAGATTCGATCGTGAAACTGCAGCAACAGGACCCTCATGCTTGGGCTAGTGTGCACCAAAGGCTGACCGGGAGCTTCAGCCTGCTTCTTCCTCCATCCATGCATGCATCTCCCCATCCATCCCATCCTTCTCTTCCTCCAAGAGCCCTCTGAGAGTCGAGCATCTGCAAGGGGCAAGCATCATGCTAGGTGCTGGAGATTCAACAAGGGATGAGTCAGGCCCAGTGACCAGACAAAGAATGTAATGACAAGTTGTGGTGAATGCCATGAAGAGACAAAGAGCAAAAGTAACAGCCTCTCTGAGTCTAAAAGGGTGAGCAAGAGCAGACCATGACAACTGAGGGGAAGAATGTTCAAGGCCCAGGCAAAGGGCCTGGGGTGGAGAACTTCGCAGAGACCTTGCAACTTGCAGGCGGAAGTGAGGCTGGAGTTTGGCCTGCGGAAGAAGAGGCCACTGGGAGGGGCAGAGCTGTGTCCTCATACCAAGGCTAACACCCTCCTCTGCCATGACCACTGGCCCTCCCATCTCTCCCTGCTCAATGGCTCCGGGGCACAGGGAGGGAGCAGTGAGCTCAGACCAGGCCCAGCAGGGGCAGAAGTGATGGAATTGGGCAGCAGGAAGGGCCCCTGGGAGAGGAATCCTTCAGCGCTGTCTGAAGGGCAGCAAGTGTGGCCGTGGGGACTTCTTGGCATTTGGAGAATGCCAGAGACGTGGCTCATCTTGTTAAGGCGTGATTACTGACCTGATAAGGCTGCAGAGGCCTAACAGGCAGGCTGCTTATTCAAACGAATTTGGAGGGACTCAGAGCGGCAGAGCACCACTCCCATGCTGCTGCGGAATTCGGCACCATCTCCCGAAGATGGTCTTCAATGGCTCGCCTTTGCTAGTGTTCTTTCTGAAGGGAACCCCGCCCGCTGCCTCCTGCCTTCCCCCCACAGGTCAGGTGCAGGTGTCTGAGCATCTGGAAGGGGCAATGTTGACCGAGAGGAGGAAGGTGTTCTAGAACGGACAGAGATGAGAAGGTAGAGACAAGTCCAGCGCCAAGAACTTTCCTTCTGGCCACCCCTGCTGGGGGGTCACCCGTCACATATGGAAGGTAGTGGATTTGGAAGACTGCAGAGGACATTTTAGTTTGGGCTCGTGGAAATCCTGTGAAAATCAAGCTTATGCCAGCACTCTGTCTTGAGGTGTGGACAACAGCACCTCCTAGGCTGTGAAGATCAACCAGTATCTTCCTCTGCTAAGTTCCAGAGGACCCCAGGGTGCCAGCGGCAGGGTCCAGCTTGCACAGGGGAGAGGATGGAAAAGACAAGGAACTTGGAGTACACTCAGGAGTCAGGGCAGAGCCTTTGCCGGGTGGGGCTTGTGAGGGGCTACCATCCTGCTCCCTGTGGGCTCTGCGGTCCTGTGTCTACCAGGAGATGTTACAGCGGTTGGCCTGGCTGGGGAGAGTGGAGAGAATGGCTTGAGCGGGTCAATAGCCTGGGGTGGCATGACACCAGGTAGCACTTGCAGTAGCCACCCCCTTACTGAACACTCTGCATGTCGGGCTCTGCGATGAATACCTTCCGAATAGCATTTCATTTTTGACATCCAATGTTCTTGGGATGAAGGTTTTGTTATCCCCATTTTACAGGTAAAGAAACTGAGGCCTAGAGGGTGAAGTCACTTGCTAAGACTGCAGTGGCCTAGAACCCAGATAGGTGTGACCCAGAGCTCAAACCAGGAGGAGGAAATGCTGTTGGACCCCCCACACCCCCCACCCTCTCCCTGGACAGCAGTGGAAAGAGATCAGCTCCAGTTACTGAGAGCTGGTTGGAACGCTAATCAAAGGCAGCCATGACGATAACAGCAAGCAGCCAACACTGAGCGCACTTTCACGGTGTGTTGCTAAGGGCGGAGCGCTTTGCAGGTGTGGACGTACTCTTGGGCATCACAACAGCCCTACAACGTGAGTACTAGTATTTCTGCCATTCTGCAAGTGAGGTCACCGAAGATGAGAGAGGTAAGGCAACAAAGCTAGGAAGCAGCAGAGCCCGGGCTCTGATCACAGGGGACACAGCGTGCATGTGTGTGTTCCACAAGTATGATGACCACCTGTGTCTGGTGACACCAAATACCCCAGGCATCCTGTGCACCCCTGCAGGGCACATGAACCCAAGCCTGGGCAGCATCCCGGCTAATGCGGGTCCAGGTGGCCTGGCAAAGATCCTGGGGTCTTGTCGACTGTGTGTATCCTCCCAGCTCGGGGCTCTGATCTCACCCGTCTTGGGGTTGTTCGGTCCCAGGCTCCAACACCCAGCCTCTTCCAGGGAGCCCCAGCGCAGAGGTGTCCCACAGGGGTCCCATGTGGTCAGGAGCCTGGGTTGGTGCAGGAGGGCCGTGAACAGGGACAGCTGAGTCTGCCAAGCTGCAATCTCAACGTTGCCCTTTGGCTCCACCATCAAGGCCAACTCTGGCAGCCACATTTGGGCTATTGGCGGGTTTGCTCCCACTTGAGGTAGCTACAGTACCTGCAAGATCTTCCTTGGAAGAGACTAGTCTCGGAGAGCTGCTTCCTGGTTCGATTCTGAGTGACAGTCTGAAAACAAAGATGTTCACAAGATCAATTGGAATCTGGTTTATCACAGGGGAGACGGAACATGTGTGTGTTTGGGGTTGGGAGACTGGATTGCTGCGAAGGGCTACTGTCGTCAGAGAATCCAGGAACACGATAAGATCTGCTCCAGATCACAGCCGCTTCCCTCTGAGGTCTCCAGGCCATTTCCATGACCAAGAAACAACGGTTAAGATAAGAAAGACAAAGTAAAAAAGAGTGACCATGGCCTGTGGTTCACTGAGCGCGTATGTGTTAATTCTCACGACAACTCCACGAGCTAGGCACCTTTTATAGATGAGGAAACTTTCCAAATGAATAGATGTTACCAATAAAATCAATAAAAATTAAAAATTAAAAAATTAATCAGCAAACTGAGCAGTGGCGAGGTTAAGTAGCTTCCCCAAATTCGTAGGATTAGCAAGTGGCAGAGCAGGGGATCACACCCAGGACTGTCTGACCCTGAACTGGAGTTTTTAATCATTATACTGTACCCTTTTTTATCTGATGCCCTCAGAGAGGCACCTCAATATATTTTTTAAAGCACCAGTTTAGAATTTCTGGGTGAAAATGACAGTGAAGACAGATGTCAGACTCTCCCTCTTCCAACAAAACCAACTAACAGTTATAAAAGCTTATGAGTAAAAGAACTCTCCAGCTGCAACTAAACAAGGGAAAGGCATCATACACGGCCACGAACTTGAAAGATCTGCAGCCAAGGAAAGACAGAGGATTCTGAGGACCCAGCGTGCAACACAGCACGGCTCCTCTCCTGCCCTCTGAGATGTCTCTGTGGGTCTGGGTGGGGGGCCTTATCTTTCCCTCTTCTGAATGGCAACAAGTGCTGGGGAGAAACGGAGGAAATGGGCAGAGAGCATGGTGGATACGCTGATGGCAATGAAGGCTCTGTGGGGCATGATTTGAAACCTGAGCGTATCCCCATCTGGAATGGGATACGGCCCCCCAAAGAGGTGAAGGAAACCCTGAAATAGGCCTGTTGCTGTATCCCACTACACAAAACAGACTGCTTGCTTACTGCCTCCATGGAGCCCAAGCCTCCTACTCCCCAGGCTACCGAAGAGGGGAAAGACTAAAGCCCCTGCCCCTCCCAGCCAGCCTCTCTGTCACACACGGAAGGAGGGCCACATGTCTCCTTCCTGGATCGGAGCCACGGAACATCCAGACAGAGCCTCTCAGATGGGAGCAAGATGAAAAGAAATGGTGTGGCAACACGGCACACGTCCTCTTACAAAAGAAGGCAAGAGGGAGGAGAACGCCGCCAGTGGCCCAGCCCAGAAGGCAGCTCCAGGAGCAGAGGAAACTCCCCGAGCGCTTCGAGCAGTGGAACGACTTATTAAGAACACGGTTGGGTGAAACAAAACCTGAAAGATGAGGTGATGATGCAGAGGAGTGAGATGAAAAGGGATATTGCAGACCGAGGGGAACAAACCAAGGACTGAGATGAGAGAGGACTGAATGAATACCTGGGCAGGAACAGGCCATCCCAGCGCCTGCTGCTGAACAGGTGGAGATTACAGCCGTTAGGAAGAAGTTAACGGGCATCCAACACAGGGATTCCTGGAATCCCTGGGAGAGAGAAGCCAAGAAGTGGCACAGAAGAAGCAGTCAAAGACAAACCAAAAGACTTCCTCTGAAATGAAGAAAGCAGACACCACGGTCCAGGGAGATTTGATATAGAACCCTCTATCTGGGGCATTCCCTTGTTAAACCTTTGAGCTTCAAGGAGTTCTTCGCCCACCAGGCAGACAAAACAAGTCCCTTACGAGAGGAAAGAAATCAGACTGGCTTGTTCTCTACAGCAACACCCTGGGCCAGAAGGCAAGTGCGCAGGGTGCGCAGGCCCGGGGGACAGCGGCAGGGAGCGCGGCCCGTGAGGTGAGGGAGGCCTGGTCAGATGCAGGCGTTTCCAGGAAAGAAATCAGGGAATGCAGGACCTGTGAGCACCTTCATTTTTTTGGCAGTGGGTGGGAGGGGATTTCATCATTTCCTGATGAAATCCAGCTAAATAAGGGATTGATTTAAAATAAAGACTCCAGGAATGGAGAAACTGTGGAGAAACAACAGGTGGTAAGAATTGAATCTCTTTAAAAATACGAAACAGTAGGAATTATGATTCCTGAACATGGTGTTTATGTTATAAACTTGGACTGCATGGTAATAATAATACAACCGACAAAAAGTTGGAGGCTGTGAGGTGGAGGTGAAGGGACGGGGAGAGGGCTAATATTCTCCTCCTTCATAACCAGAGTCCACCAACACTGTTCACAATGGAAACTTAGTTAAAAATCACACTTATTGACTCAAACCTCTTAATGTTTTTCCTCACTCCTTTTATTAATCTTAGATGGCTTTTTTTTTAAGAAAATAACATCTCTTGTGGTAAAGAAGTATCTATTTAAAGAGTAGCAATTTCTCACATTTCATTTCAGTTCCTTTTTCTGGTTAAAGTAAAATAAAAGTTAATATTTTTAATTAAAAACAGGAAGTGTAGTAGGATCTAACTTTAATAAATTTTATCCTTGCATCTATCCACCTATCCATCCTTCTCTCTATATATATACATTTTCTATGAATAGAAAAATGTCCAAAATTATATTTACTTAATGCTAATGGTCACGCTTTCTAGGTGGCAGGAATTTGGGTAATTTTTCTTAAATAAAATAAAATAAGACTAAAGGCTAAGGGGAAAAAAAAGCACTGGTTGGGCCTCTTGGCACAATATTTCTAAAGCAGATGGGGGCAGGATGTTAGAAACAAATGTCACAAATGTAATAACTGAGCCGCTGCATCCTTTGGGGGTGAGGAGCCATGGTTCTGCTGTAGTGGGCTGTGGAATGTGGCTCCCCAAGAAGAATCACAGGTACTGCCCATCTCTTGCCACTCAGGGCCAGATGCTCTCTGGGGACTCCTTCAATGGCCTGGGGACCAGGGATGAGAATGCAGCCTTCCTCCCTGGTTTGTCCACTTTGACCACAACAAAGGGCTTTTGTGAAACCCAGGCTGACTGTTATAGCACCAAGTGCCGGGGGTATTTAATGTCCTTCAGAATGGAAGGAGTAATTACTCATGATCTGCAGCTTGTCCAAGGATTATCTCATGGTCAGCAGTATTTATAGACCATTTTTCTCCTTAAAGCATATTAGTGTTAATGAAAAACTACTGTCTCTTTAATCGCAATACTGGCACATGCATGGAAAATATTATCCCAGAGCGTAAGTGGGAATAATTTCGCACTCCAGGGCACTCTTTTCAGGAACAGCAAATGCTTTGTAAATAAAATGAGCTCAATTTGTGGTCCGTATGATTTTAATGGTAATTGCTAGCCTTTATCTATTGTTGTTACTATTATGTAATAGATCACAATTTCATATATTTTAACAAATTATTATATAGTAACAACTAAAGACAATATATCTATGTTCCCAAAGATCAGTAGAACCACCTAGGGAGCTTTGGGAAAAATACAAATTTTCAGGCCCCACCCCAGACATCTGGATGGTTAGAAGATTTCCCAGGTGGTTGATTCACAGCCAGGGCAGAGAACCACTCCTGCGGCGCTGGCCAGGTGGGGTGCTGTTCCAGCAGCCGTTCCCCTAGAGTCTTTCCAGCTGAGGCAGCCGTGGGTAACCCAGGGGTGGGGAGATGTCTTTGTGGCCAGTTCTCTACAGTTCTCTACAGTTCTCACTGACTTAGATGAAGACCATGTAATTAGGATGATCAAATTCGTAGATACAAAACTGGAAGAGATTTAAGAAAATACACTGGATAGCAAGATACAAAGGAATCATGGTATACTGGAAGCAACCAGTAAAATAAGACTTAAAAGAACACAGACGTTCCTCGACTTACTATGGGGCTGTGTCCTGACAAACCCACTGTAAGTTGAAAATATCATCAAAAATGCACTTAACACATCTAACCTAGCAAACATCATAGCTTAGCCTAACCTATCTTAAATGTGCTCAAAACACTTACATTAACCTACAGTTTGGCAAAATCATCTAACACGAAGCCTATTTTATTATAGTGTTGAATATCTTATGTAATTTATTGACCTCTGTACTGAAAGTGAAAAACAGAATGGTTGTATGGTACTCAAAGTACAATTTCTACTGAACGCATTTCACTCTCACACTATTGTAAAGTTGAAAAATTGTAAGTTGAACCCTCTTAAGTTGGAGACCCTCTGTACACATGAAGTTGACATTTAGGTCATAATGATCAAGTACAAGATGGCTGGGACTTGCCTTAGTATCAGGTCATATGAAAAATGACTGAGGCTCTTAGTTGACCTCAAGCTCAAAATGAACCAGGAGGATTTCCAAACAACATGGCAGAGAGGTGACATGAAAAATCCTCCTTCTCCTTCCAAATACACAGAAAGGATGGATAAGTTCCCAGATGCCACAAATGGAGGAAGAACTGAAAACCAGAGTAGGGTGAGTAGAAGATGAGGCCACAGGGCCCACGGGCTTGCTACGAGAACTGGGTCTGTTCCACCGGAGCTGCGTGGGAAGGGAGCTGGGGCCTCGGCCGCCGCCAGATGGCAGGAATCCTGCAGAAAGCTAAGAGCCATAAGGAACTGTCTTGTCCTGCAACAGGCTCTTGGAGGACTGCTGTTCGCTGGCCTGGGGGTATGGCTAGAAAACTGCTCTCCACCCAGCGCCATGGGTAGGGGGTCACATGCGAGAATCAGTGTGCCAGGCCAGCACCACGCGCCATGCCATGTGGGAATGCCACACGGAGAACTGGGGGCCTGTGGGGCCGGGGCAGAGGAGGGTGCGAGAGCTGCTCAGGCAGCACTGCTACAGGATCCGGGAGGTGGGAGCTCACACAGCACACGTGTGCTCGTGCGTGTTGGGGTTGGGTGCTGCTGCAGCGCACTTTGATAAGCCTGGCCAGTGGCCACTCACTGGTCTCAAGACCCAGGTCGCCTGCAGGAACCCGAGTGCTGAGGGCAACGGTGGGGATGGGGAGGCCTGACTGAACAGGAGCAGGTGGGCACTTACTTGTAGTTGTCATCTTCCACAAACTTCTGGAGCTCTTCAATGTAGCGTACGGACTTCAGGTACTTCTGCACGTGGGGCAGGGTGGTGAGGTGATCTGCAAAAGGTGGACAAAATCCAGAGGCTTCAGACTCCCCCAACAAGAAGTGTAGGAATCACTGCTTTTAGATGCTCCTTGGACACTGAGACTTATTCACTCTTCCATTAGTTCTTTTTGGGGTCTGGCCCTGTGCTGGCCACTGGGCACAGAGGGGTGATCAGGGAGTGCCCCTAGGTGGCTGGGCCACAGACACCACACTCTGAGGCCACCACCGTTCTTCAGCCAGAAGGAGGATGTGAGGCCTCCATTCAGAGCTCAGGGGCTGGGGAAGGATGGCTCCCTGGACTTCAGAACAGACCACAGCCAGGTGCCTACGCCCTGGAATAGGTTTCCACTGGGGTCACTGTGTGACATCAATGCAAGAATGAATGAACGAACAGATGCCACCCAGCCTAGTGCGGAGGCCAACCCAGATGCTGGCCCTGCCTGGAGCTGCTGCGTCCTGAGAAAAAAGGGAGGGGCCCAGACGCCTGAGCACCTGTCTGAGCCCGGGTCTGCCCTGGAGGATTTGCAGGGGTCTGCTCTAACCTTCACACCACTTCACGTGGGAGAAATAATGTTCCCATTGCATAGAGGAAGCAGCTGTGACAACTTGCAAAGGTCACATGGCTGAGAAGTGGCAAAGCCGGGCTTTGATCCCTGGTCATCTGAGGTTTCTACCACATTGCGCTGCCTCTCTTTCCTCGGAGTGACTGGCGTCAGCTGCCCTCTGCAGACCTTCAAGGTCACTGTACTCTTTCTGCAAGGGCCAGAGGTGGGCAGAACAAGCCAAGGGGAGGGGTGGAGGGTGTGGCAGAGGCCACGAGAAGAGGAGCATAGAAGAGGGTGGGCAGGGAGGGCCTCACTTTCTGGGGAGGTGCGTCCAGGTGCTGTGGGAGCACCTAATGGCTCTGCCCCTTAATTAATTCTGAACAGGTCATTTTGTTTCTCCGCAATCTCAGTGTCCTCATCTCTGAAATGATGATAAGGACACAAATTATAGGGACACTGATTATGGGGATGACATGGGTGAAGATGAACAGCAGTAAGAGTGAGGTGAGCCCTTGCTGGGCTCTAATGACATGTCACAGGCTGTGCTAAGGGCCCTGCACGAGTCATGTCCCCATTTTCACATATGAGAAAACCTTAGAGAGGAGAAAGGGATTTTTCAAGAAGCAGAGCTGAAACTTGAACCTGCATCTGCTGACTCCAAAGCCTATGTCTATGACTGCTCTGCTGGTCAGTGGGGCAACGGGTATCAACGTATTTGTGAGTGGAAAGGGCCTGGGACAGGCAAGGCTGCACTGGGAGCACAGGTGCTCCCATCCCTCTTCTCAGAGGAAGCTGACCTGGAAGTGTGGGCACCCACCCTCCCTGGGATGCTTGTGGAGGGGCTGGTGAGCAGGGCCCCTGCTTCAGTGCGCCCGTCCGCAGGAACCCCCTGGCTTGCCTGAGACCCTTCCAGATGGAGACTGCTGGTTTTCTTTCTACACCCTGTGCCCTGTAGGTAGGGCTGACTCTAGACTTTTACTCTTCCATGCACTCGTGAAAACCCTGCTGCCCAGAGCTTTACCATTCATCCTCCTCTTCACTGCTGACCTCTTCTGACTGGCTACCTGGTCACCTGAGCTCATACACGGGGACTTGGGCACCTGGCTCAAGGTTGAGCTCCACACCCCAAGCCCACTGTCTTCTTGGGTGAAATCAACACCCACACGAGTGGCCCAGCAGCATTCTGACTTCTCAGTTCCTGGACATGACCTCCAACAACCTTCCCCAGCCATCCCAGACACCCACCGTCATGATCACACTTTGGATCTGGCCACGTGTAGCAGGGCCTGGCCAGTTGTTTACCATGTCATCTCCCTTTTCCTTCTAGGCTCACAGCTAGATTACATTTCCTAGCCTCCTTCAGCAGAAGCGATGTGAAATGCTTGCAAGTTTGGCCCATAAAGTCCACCCTTGAATGAGTCGCTCACTTCCTGCATCTGCCAGCTAGATGTAGAGCCCAGTGGAGGGCTCAGAGGCCATGGGAGACAGCAGAGCCACAGAGAGAAGGAACCTGGTCCCCGAATCTGCTTGGAGCAGAGCTTCCCAGAGCTCTTCATGAATGAATGCGCTGGGAGCCAGACAGACCTGGGCTCTGCCACTCACGAGATGAGTGACTACAGACAAGTGACTAAACTGTCTTCAGCCTCAGTGTCCTTATTTGTCCTACAGAAACAGTAATGTCTAGTTTGCACAGTCTTTGAAGATCAAACCTATGTGTAAAGGATCTAGTACATGTTTGATGCTCAAGATATTAAAATGAAGACCTCTGTGGGGCCTGCCTGGTTTCTAGAGCTTTCTTACAGATAAGGTGCTAGATCTATACATCAATGAGGTAAGATTTTACGATTCCAAAGGCCAAGGGTACTAACCGTAGCTACAGGAAACTTGTAAATCCGCAATTATTCGGAGAATATTGTTCATCTGATTGGATCTTTGTTCGTTTTCCATGATGCTGCCTGAGGCAGGATATGCAGAATCAATGTAGATTAAATCCAGAAGATAGATCCCTAAAATTAAAGAAGATATTTAATGATAGTAGGAGCTCACCACTAGCTAGAACAAAATAGCACAAAGTAGTACTGCTCTGCTAGAAGGGTGACTTATGGAAAACTGAGATAATATCTGGACTTTAACTCTAATCCTGACTACTCATGTTTTTCACACAGACTGCTCAACCGTAAATCAAACATCTGAGCAACAACCAAAATGAGTGCTGGCAAGATTTTAGCATTTCTATTTCATATGCTCTCCAGCAACAAGGCTTTTTACCTGTAGTCCAACTGGAAAACAAGAGGCCGTGAAAGGGATGGATTCCTGTGTTTCTCACCAACCGAAGAAGTTTAATAGGTCTAAGGTGTCAAGTCCAGGAGAACACCCATTCGGGCTGAATTCAGTTTTTTCTTTATTTACTTAGCTGCATCTCTAGTTGTCTATCTGCATGCATACACACACACAAACACACACACACACACACACACACACATACCCCATCAATTAACTAAGGAAAAAAAGAAGAAATTTAAAAAGCAACAGTTCTTGGCACAAAGAACTAAGGCTAGACAGAGCATTCAGCCAAGGGTACTTAGTAAGAAAATAAGATGTGGTATAAAAACACGGTTATGACAGGCCAGTGATTAGCTGCCTGGACAGGGAAGGGGAAGGGGGACTAGCTGTGCAGTGTGAGCCACTGCACAGCTCTCAGTTAACGGGTCACCTGGAGGTGTGCATAGATGACAGGGGGCATATCCTTCCAGTGGCCCTCCATGAGCACTGCCACTGTGCCCACTATGTGGGGGACTGGGCAGGAGAAGGATCGTAGAGCAGAATTCAAGGCAGAATACAGTGAACAAGGCAAAGATGAGTGACTGACATTGAAAAAAAGCACAGTTGATTGAGAAGATATAATGGTTACCAATTTCTATGCATGAGCAACATTGCATAAAGGTATACATAGCCAAACACTGTTAGCAATGAAAAGTGAGAATTGAAAGGATATGGAATCAACCTAAGTGCCCATGAACCAAAGAGTGGATGAAGGAAATGTGGTGTATGTCTACCATGGAATACTACTCAGCCATAAAAAAGAGTGAAAGTATGTCTTTTGCAGCAACTTAGATGGAACTGGAGACCATTATCTTAAGTGAAGTAACACAGGAACGGAAAACCAAATACTGCATATTCTCACTTAGGAGTGGGAGCCAAGGGGCACACAGAGTGTCACAATGGACACTGGAGACACAGAAGGGGTGGTTAGGGAAGAAAAACCACCTATCGAGTGCAATGTACACTATTCGGGTGATAGGTACACTAAAAATCCAGACATTGCCATTATACAATTCATCCATGTAACCAAAAACCACTTATACCCCTAAATCTATTGAAATAATAACAATAATAAAAAGACAAATGCTAACATTAAAGAAATGAAAAGTAAATTCAACAAAGCCACAACCATAGAGGGAGCCTTTGGCATGTTTCTTCCAGAATTTATATGTGTGAATACATACAAACACATATATGCATGTGTGTATATATATGATATAATATTATAGTAAAATTAATAAGCTTGGTTTTATATAAATGAAAATATAGTTCTTTTCAATACTCATGGAATATGTACAAAAACTGATTATATACTAGACTATAAAGAAAAGTTCAATAAGTTTCAAAAAGTAAATGCCATATTATCCATATTCTTTGACCTTACTACAATACAGCTGGGATTTAACAATAAATATAGAAAAAATTCTAACCATTTGAAAACACACACACACACACACACACAGGTAACTCTTAGATCAAAGAAAAAATCTGTTTGAAGACAATGACGAAAAGAACACTATATATCAAAACTTATGGGTTCTGGCCAAAGTGGTAATCAGAGGAAAATTTATAGCCTTAAAAGTCTACTGTTAAACAACTAAGAATTATTACAAATATTGGAATTAATCTGGTTAATTATATACAAGCTGTAGTATTTTTTGCATGGATGGACAAGCACTACATTAAGAGTTACATGTTCATTAGCTTATTTATCCTTCCAACAGCCCATTTTATAAAGGAGAAAAAGAAATTCAGAGAGGATGTGTAATTTGCTTGAGGTCACACAGCTGGTAAATGATGGACATGGGAGTCAAACCCAAGCCTGTCCCCTCTGGAGTACACGCTTCCTGCCATCACGGTGGACTGCTGGTGGTTGGATACCATGAGTCATTCGTCTGCTTTTAAAATAGCTACACATTGTTACGGGAAACCGTTAAATCACAGAAACATATGCTAGCACTTCTCATAGGAGCCATTTCCGCTTCCTTTTCTTTCTGGTGGTACCATGTTTCCAAGATTTTAATAATTAGAAATAATTTCCTTCGTAGAGAAGCTCCAAGTTTGGTAGGTTTGAATCAGCAGATATATTCTTTCTCTTGACCTTGTTTTTCCTCTCCCCTCTTAGAAGTGTATCTCAGTTATCTCCCTGAGGATTCAGCAGCGGCCATCCTGAAAATCCCATTACTGCTACAACCACAACAAAAAGCATCCAGTGCTGAGCAGGGGGTGAAAGGATGTGGGACACGGGCAGCTTTATTCCAGACGCACAGTGCAGACTCCGGCCTGGCTGACTCACAGTGGCAGAGTGAAAGCTCAGCCCAGGAGCAGGATGGGGGCAGGGGTGGACGCTGCTGCTCCCTGGAGATCTACCCCAAGACAAGAACTTCCCTCCTGCCTCACGGGAGCCTGCCACCAACCCCAGGAAGCAGGAGGAGAAAACTGAAGCTCAGAGAGATTAAGAAAACTACCCAAGGCCTCACAGCAAGCGTGCTGGAATTTGTTCCCATGTCTGTCAGGCTGCCGTGCCCATGTCCCTACCCACTGGTCATCAGACACACACAAGGAGTCGCCCTTTCTCAGATAACACCCTCAATGGGAGGCTCACCCTTTGCTGCCCTGTGAGGATGGGTGCTGGACGCCGCACTTCCTCTCGGGTCCCTGGAGGAGGATTCCTGAGTAGTGCTTGGCACATAGAGACCCAGGGAAGCTTGCTGTAGAAGGGGCCCTCACCCAACTTCCGCAGGCTACCCCGCAGCCCCTACTCGCACCCTGGGGAGTGGTGGCTCACTACTTGATAAGAGAGTAAATCTTACCGTCAGTGTCCATAATTTCCCTCTACAAAACAAGCACACACCAACACCTGTCTGCTGTCTACTTCTCAAGTCCTGGGAGTGTGAGCCGAGGCCGCAGCGTGCTGAGGACTGGGTGCACCTCCCAAAGGAGGCCTCCTGCCCCAGTGGCCTGGGGAGATCTTGAGCCTCGGTGACACCCAAACAGAACCTCCAAATCAACAGCCTTTCACTCCTGCGGCAAAAACTGCAGCAAAAGCAGCAAGCCTACAGTTAACACCACACAAATCCACAGAAATCTTTTCAGATTTCCATAACAGAAAGTATTTATAAACTTAAACTGTAATGAAATCATAAGAATAACCACTTGCACGGTGCCGGGTGCCGTGCTGAGCCCTATATGTAGTTGGCACTCACCACAACTGCAATCAGCGGCTTGCTTGTATCATTCGAGTATTCAGTGTCTGACTTCCCACCAGACCCAAGACCCCTGAGAGCAGGAAGTGTGTCCTGCTCCAGCAGCTCCAGAACAAAGCACACGGGAGCTGCTTGGTAAACACTAGTTGAAAGAAGTGCGTGATTGGAGGCATATTTTATTTAACCCACACAATAGCCTTATGAAACACATATTGTTACTCTCCTTTTTTAGCTGAAGAAAGAGACACCAAGAGTCCAGAGTGATAAAAACAGCTAATGTTCACCCTGCACTTACTATGTGCCAGGTCCTAAGCTAAGAGCTTTGCCAGACTATTGATTGATAAGAACAATGCTGCTGTCAGGGAGGTTTTACTGTGATTTTATAGAGGAAGAACTGGAGCTGAGAGAGGCTACATTGCTTGCCTGAGGTCGCACAGCTGCGAAGTGGCAGAAGCAAGATGTGAACTCGGGTCTAACACAAGACTTTTCACCTCCTGAGGCCTCAGTTTCCTCGACTGTGAATAGGGGTAATGGCAATGGTTGAAAGGAGTCTCCCAGCCCAAGGGCTGAAGTGCCCAGGAAGCTGAGCTGACCCCAGCCTGGCTCCACAGAGAGGTCCTGCTGCCCATGGGAGCAAAGAGCCCAGCTGGGTTTGCCATGACCATGGGTAGCACCCAGATGAGGACCACAAGGTGGCCACCCCTCAGCCGGACCAGCGCTGGGAGCTTCCATCTGGATTGGGACAACAAAGCCAGACATCTCAGATCCTATTCTTATTTAAACAGAGTTACCGCAGCAGATGACACTGTGCTGGTGGCCGTGTGAGATGGACAGCAAGTGGACTACCCGCTGGCCCAAGCTGCCCTGGAGCTGAGCAGTGCCAGGGACTGGGCTAGGCTGGGAGGTGCAGACCTGTCGGGGGAACATCCCGAACAGACAACGGCTGCCTGCTACAGGCAAGGTGGGCATCGCTTGTACCACGGCACCTTCACAGCGACCCTGCACATAGGTACTCCCGTTCCCCCATTTTACAGATTAGGAATCTGAAGCTTAGCGAGGAAAAGCCACTTGGCTAAGACCATACAGCTTGCAAGTAGAGGAATCAGGACTTGAATTCAGATCTGTCTGACTCCAAAGATTTGAGACAGAGAGCAGAGATAAGGGCTGGGAGCTGGAAGCCACTGGCTGGCACAGAGATGAGTGTCCCAGCCACAGAGTTGGAAGATGAGGACTCCTGCTGTGGCCTCCCCTGCCCTCTGCCCAAGGACACTGCTGGCAGCTAGCATCCGCCTGTGGCCGTGCCCGCCTGCAGACTGGACCTCCTCTGAGATGGACAGCTCCCCAGACCATGCTTGGGCTCTGCTCCCTCCTTCCATGCCCCACACAGGGCCTGGTGACATGGCTGTGGCTGCCACACGAGTGCCAACCACACAGCTGTGGTGAGGCAGAGACCCCCAGGGCTGGGAGTGAGCCGCCCT